GCCGAGTTGTTTCTTCAAGTAGTCGATGGAGAATTAAAAGAAAAATTGGAGTTGCTTCTTGACAACAGAGAAGAAGATTAAGGATTTATAAAAAAGTAGAATTTTTTTGAAGATTTTATAGGTTTGCATAACAAAAAATGAGAAAGAACAACGAATAAAATTAACAAGATTTGAAAAAAAGACTTCTATAAATAATTTAAAAATTATTTTAAAATAAAGATATGTACAAAGATGCATTTGGTGTGACAATGTTTTTCATACTAATAAGGATTGGAATGAATTTATTAATATGGTGCAATAAAGAGATATTTTTTGGAAAGATGGAAAGATGGTATTAAAAGATACATAGAACTTTGTTCAAGCCAATTTTGGCAAGGGAAGTATAAGAATATTGATTCAAGACTATTTAATAGTACATGAAGTAGCAACACATAGAAATACAAGTTATGGTACTAGGATAGATGATGACTTTGACAAAAGTATAGAAACAAGTGGATTTTGGACTTTGACCATTTCTACAATGCAAAAAGAAAAGATGCCTTAGTTAGCATTATTGAGAACTATAGCTATAATATGAGGTATAACAGATTAAAAAGATCTTGTAGAGGCTCTTTAATTTCATGCATATATTACTAAGAGCCAACATGAAGCCCTGATGGAAGAAAAAGAAATTCCTCCAAAAAGCAAATTTGAAGAGAGAAAGCTCATGAAGAAATTTCGTAAGAATTATCTACAAAGGATATTTTAATAATATTAAAAAAAAAGTGAAGGAGACAAAAAATAAAAATAAATCAATAGCTTATAAATTACTCTTTGATATTGAAGCAGCAATAGATTTAAAAGAGGTGTTGGAAGAATGTATACTAAATATTAAGGTGGAGTTTACATTGAAAGGGATTTTAGAAATTATAAGAGAAGAGTTTCATGATGTTAATATTGATAATATTAAAAAAAAGAGACAATTTATGGATGAAGTTAGAATGAGTCATGCTATTGATACAAGGATATGCAAGGATGAAGAGGAGGTTGATAAATGCTACAAGCAATCATAGACAAGAAGATAAAATCAATTGTTGGAGCTTTATCAAAAGATTCTATAAAACAAATAGAAGAAGCATCAAAAAATAATCAAAGTAACAATAAGTGATTTATATTTGAACTATAATCAATTTCAACTTACATATAGAAAAAGAGATTTAACAATAATAAGAACACCACTTAGACTACTTAAAATATGTACTCTTCTACAAGGTGCTACTAACTTGGTTGCACACATGATGAATGGAATGAACAAGGTATTGAAAGAATTTATTCTTAAAAAAACTATGTCTTTTTTAGATGTTATTCCTAAAAAAAGATATAAAAAAGAAAAAAATGATGAGACTTTAGATGAAAGAAGGTATCATAAGTATAAAGTTGATTATAAATAAGATTGTGAAAAGATTTTAATTTAACTTGAAAAAGCTCATCTAACACTTTTAGGAACAAAATCTACATTTGAAGTACAAAAAGTTGTTATTATCAAACATTTGTGTAGATTTTATGGAAGAAAATCAAATCCAAAGGAAGTTGATGCAATTGAAAGGATGAAGGATATATGTGACATTTTAACATAACTACATAAGTTTTAAAGACTTGTATATTTTATTGTATATAGATTTTTTATTATGTTTATATAAAAAAATCATTATATGAATTATTATGTTAGGATTGTTTATTTAAATCAGAAAAAAATGTGTTGAAGCAATGCAAAAACTAAAGGTGTTATTGTTCACACCTCCAATTTTCAAAAGTATTAACTGTAAGTATAATAGACAAGTAAATACTTACTATAGATACTAGTCCAATTACTATTGGTGGAATGTGGATCAAGACAATTTAAGAGGAAATAGATTTGTAGTTTGATATAGAGCTAAAATTTTTAGTACTCATGAATATGCATATTTGTAAGTTAAAAGAGAACTATGAGAAGTTGTTTTGGCTATAAAAACTAAAAAAGATTATTTGATTGGTACAATGATAGTAATCGAAATAGATTGCTTGCCATTGCTTGGGATGATTACTACTTATTCAACACCAAATATTATAATATTAAAATGGATTTTTTATATAAAATCATTAAATCTAGAATTTAGAAATGTTGCTAGAAGGAACAATTTGGTAGCAGATATATTGTCTTGAGCCAAATATGAAAGAGAAGATGAGATTGATGAAGAAATTGATGATGTAGGATAAAAATTCTATTCAATATCAAATCTTAGCAAGGAAGTATTAAGGACAAGAATCCAATGAAAGCAAATAATTAAGTGAGACTTTTTTCAAAGAAGTATGATAAAATAGAAGTACAAAAATATGTATATTAAAAATAAAATAAAATGGCTATTGCCGAAAGATAAGAAAATTGAAGACTCTTGAATCTAAACTAGAATAAAAAAAAATTAATAAGAGTGAAGAAGGCTTCACTCTTGCTTCTATAAATACTATCTATATAAGAGCTATGTGGCAATATTCTATAAGACTTCCAATACGTGTTGACTTTACAAGCTACATGTCTTAACTTGCAAGGCTAATTTTCTCTGTGTGCGCTACATAGTTAGCTTGTTCTTTAGGCTACCTACATGTGTAGGACATTTCTAACTTATTGATCAAGTTTTTAACATAAAAGTCAATTATAAATACTTATAAAGTCAAAATTATATCTATAAAGCTTATAAGAAGCTTTTCTAAAAGATATTATGAAATTAATCTATTTTTATCTATTTTTATTTAATTATATAAATAATTACTAAAATAAATATATATATATGTCTATGATAATATGTCCATGATAATGCTTCTCTTTCTAGGAACAAGTTTTATGAGGTGCAATCATCATATGTTGAGAAAATTTAAGATGCAATAAATTATATTTGCTACATACTCTAATCTTTGATCTTTTTAAAGATGGTTAATAGATCCTCTTAGCCATCAATTATGTTTTATACCAAGATAGAAAGACCACCTTGTTATTTGATCATTATTGAGGCCTTTATAATTTCTTTCAAATAAAACATTTGAAACAATGTCAAAAATTGTACCTATCATACTACTAAAATCATAAGCCCTATCAAAAGTCAACTATACTTTTTCTTTTCCTTTTCCTTTTACTGTGACTTTTTACTTTTACCTTTATTGTGACTTTTACTTTTATATTTACTGTGACTTTTACTTTTACTATGGCTGTGACTTTTACTTTTACTTTTACTTTTGTTGACTGCGCAGTTGACTGCTCCATTTATTATTGCGCGGTTTTGAAATTTGAACATTGAGTTTGTGGGTGTGTGCAATCCAAAGTGTGTGTTACAATTTGAGCTTACCCAAAACAAATTTGAAACTCTTGATTACAATTTTGAAGCTCTTGATTACAAATTTGATGTTCAAAACATTTTTTGGATTGTACACTTCAAGATTGAGTTGTAAATTGAGAGTTGTAAGTTGGAAGTTGTAAGTTGGAAGTTGTAAGTTGTGAAGTTGGAGTTGGAGTTGGTTGATGTGATCTTGGAGGTTTGAATACAAAGTTGGAGTTGGAGTTGGAGTTACAAAGTTCAAGTTGTGGAGATTGTTCAAGAAATTTGAGGTGAGATTGTAATTTTTGCAAGATTGTGAAAGATTGAAAGGTTTTGAAAGATTGAAATTTTTGGTAATTTTTGATTTTGGGTAATTATAAAATCAAGTTTTCAAACATTAAACTTTCAAATCAAGTTGAAATTTAGTGGTTTTAGTTGTAAAAAACCAAACAAAAGACAAAAAACATCAAGGACTCAAAAACGAGCAGCTGTTGTTCTGTGATGTGCACATCGCCAAAACTTTTACTTTTACTTTTTTTAACTTTTTTTTTTTTTGCCCAACAATTTTTCATCCGCTGTGATTTTTCATCTACTATGATTTTTCATCCGCTGCACAATTTTTCATCCATTGTGCAATTTTTCATCTGCTGCATTTTTCTCATCCACTGCATGGTTTTCATCTACTATGCAATTTTTCATCCACTATGGATGAAACTGTATTTTGGGCAGAATTTATTTAACAGTGAGTTAATATCTCCCAAAATACTAATTATTTTTGAATTCCGACTTCGGATTTGGACTTTTTAGGTGCATTTTCATTTAGTAGGAAAGAAAATGATTTGTGACAAAAGTTTTCAAAAATCGACATTTTTAAGTGTCTTCAAAAAAAAAAATTTAGAGTCTAAACTTTGGAGGTAGAGTATGGCTTGAGAATATGTTCATCACATTTGTTTTCATGCATGTTTTTTGTGTGTTAGATCAATACCTCTTGGCTACGAATGTGTTGCAAAGCAAGCGCCAACCTAATCTATTTTTTTTCTTTGAAGTGTAGTGCATTGAACGTAAACTTTTTAGAGTGGAGTGAAATTTCATCAAAAGGTGCAACTTTCTTGGAGCACAAGCTTACAAAGGTACTATCAAAAACCTTACTTTTGTGAATTTTGAAATGGTTTGGGATTCACGTTAGGATTTTTGTTATCTTACATTAAACTCTGCTTTTTCTTATCAATTTTTTCAATCTTTGTGGAGTTTAGGATTTAGGGTAGGATTTCTTCTATCCTACACTAAATCCTATTTATTGATATATCTTTTTATCTTTGTGGAGTTTAGAATTTATGATAGGGTCTTCATTCTCCTATCCTAAATTCCACTTTTTTTATTATATTGTCATCTTTCTAGAGAATGGCTCGTGCTTTGTCTACCATTGATAATTTTGTAGATGTCAATGTTGATAGTGTTGGATCAATGTGCATCCAATGTCCAAAATGTTTGGCTTTTCGTTTTAAAAAAGAAAAAAATACCATTTGTTGTTACAATGGCAAAATTGCCAATGAACATGTTAATCACCCCATTGTCCATCCAATGCTCAATGAGCTTTATATGGGCACAACACCTAAATCTCAAGAGTTCCTTAAATCCATTCGAAAGTATAATCAAGCTTTTGCATTTACAAGTATGTGTAGTAAGTTTCAATCTGGCCAAGTTGAAGGTAGAGGAGTATATACTTTTCGTGTGAACGGAGAGTTATGCCATCACATTGGAAATTTACAACCCGATTTAGACGAAGGTGCTAGATTTACACAAATTTATTTCTTGGATGATGGTTTACAAACAAATCGTCATATGGAGATTTTTGATGATCTTCATCGTGATGTTGTTAACAACATTCAAGCAGTTTTAGAATCCATAAATGTGTTGGTTCATGGTTTTAAGTCTTCGCATGATGTTCTTCAAAGGGGACAAAACATGGGACTTCATATCTCCGGTGAGGTTCCTTTTGGTGAACATCCCCATCGATATAATCGCCAAGTAGTTCCAGAAGTTGCTGCTGTTGTTCTTGACGAACAATACATGAATTTTGGTAGAGATATTATTCTTCACCAACGTGGTGGAGATTTAATACGAATAAAAGAAATTCATCCAGCTTACGATGCTTTATCCTATCCTTTGTTGTTTCCTGATGGGCGATGTGGGTGGTCACTAACTTTTAAAGCAGATATTGGAGTGACTGTAAAGTCATATGTCCAATATTTGCTTCAAAAGCGCTCAGAATCTAATGTATTACATAAGGCTGGTAGATTATTCCTGCAATATGTAGTGGATCAGTATTTACGTGTTGAACATGAAAATTTGCTTTTTATTAGGCAACATCAAATTGAACTTCATGCAGAGTGCTATCAGGGGGTCGTAGATGCTTTGCAGGAAGACAATGGAGCACGCATTGGGCGTCGCATTGTCTTACCTGCAACATTCATTGATTCCCCCCGATACATGCAAAAACTCTTTCATGATAGTATGGTTTTGATTAGAGTTTTAGGAAAACCCGATTTGTTTGTGACAATGACATGTAATCCGACCTGGCCTGAGATTCTTGATGATCTTGAGCCAGGTCAAAGTCCTCCTGATCGTCCAGATATTGTTGTGCATGTTTTCGAGCTCAAGTTAAGAGCATTGATGGATGAGATTACGAAGAAGAATGTCATGGGAGAGACAATTGCTTTTTGTTACACTATTGAGTTTCAAAAACGTGGTCTTTCTCATGCACACATTCTTCTTTGGTTGAAAGACAAGGTCAATGACTGTGACCTTGTAGATAGGATAGTATGTGCAAAGATTCCCGATTTAGATAGACAACCGCAATTGTATGCCACAGTTGCCAAGCACATGATGCATGGACCATGTGGTTTGGACAATCCCAATTATCCATGCATGAAAGACGATAGATGTACAAAGAACTATCCGATGCAAGCTCGAGATACTACCGAGGTGGATGGTGACGGACATGTTTTGTACCGTCGTCGAAATCAAGGTCGATATATTGAGAAACGTGTACGTGGACAAATTGTCCGTTTAGACAATCGATGGGTTGTGCCATACAATCCATATTTGATAGGTCAGTTTAATTGTCACATTAATGTGGAAATTTGCAGTTCTGTAAAAACTATCAAATACCTCCACAAGTATATTTTTAAAGGTCCAGATCGTGGTGTTGTAGAAACAGATGAAGTGGTAGATGAGATTAAGGATTTCTTGGAGGGTCGTTATGTGGCCGCCCAAGAAGCATGTTGGAGGCTCTTTGGTTTTGAAACTAATAATAAGAGCCATAGTATTTGTCGTTTGCCTGTTCACCTTCCCGGTCAGCAATATGTTACTTTTAAGGAAGGAACATCTTTGCACTCGGTGATTGATCAAAATGCTGAGACTAAACTCACCAAGTTTTTTGATCTTAATTGCCATATTCGTGCCTTAATTGCTTCTGGCAATCAAGGCAACCATATGCTTCTTTGTTACATGGATCTTCCACTCTATTACAAGTGGAATGTGAAGAATAACATGTGGGAAAGAAGAGTACGTAAGATAAAAGTTTTTGGTCGGATAAACATGGTTCCCATAGGTACCGAAGTATTTTACTTGCGTTTGTTGTTGACTCATGTCGAGGCACCAACTTCATTTGAGGACCTACTTTGTTTTCATGATATAGTGCATCCAACGTACAAGGCCGCTTGTATTGCAAGAAGACTTTTACAAGATGATTCTGAATGGGAAAATTGTCTGCAAGAGGCAATTGTCATTGCGTTGCCTAAACAAGTTCGGCGGTTGTTTGCAACACTTCTTGTATTTGGACAACTGCTAGATCCTCTTAGCTTACTAAAGACACATCTTGATGATATGTCTGATGATTGGCGCAATGATCAAAATCGCTATTGCAAAGCAATTTTGTCCATTGAAGAATATTTGTCATTATCAGACAAACATCTTACAGATTTTTTTAATATCGAAGAATTGAATGAGTTTGGTTATTCAAACATTGTTGATGTTGGCAGTGATTCCAATGACAATATTGATTTTGATAACCAAAACATTACTTTTCTAGAGGAGGATGTAAGTAGGCTCAACAAAGAATAATACATTGTTTTTAATGCTGTGACCACTGCCGTTTTAAATTATAATTCTCCAGATCGGCTTTTCTTTTTAGATGGTCCTAATGGTACAGGTAAGACCTTTTTATATAACACCATATTGGGTTATCTTCGTGGTCGTAATGTCAAGTGTATGGCAATGGCAACAAGTGGAATTGCCGCATGCCTTTTGAATGAAGGGCGAACGGCACATTCAGCTCTTGCTATTCCTTTACAATTGCATGATGCATCAATTTGTAACATTAGTGCCCAGTCTACATTAGGTCAAAGCTTACGTGAAGTACAATTGATTGTACTTGATGAAGCTTGTGCTGGGCATCGTTTTATGTTTGAAGCTATAGACAGATCATTGCGAGATATACGCAATATAGATAGTCCAAATGGTGGTATTGTAGTATTATATGGCGGTGATTTTTGCCAAACTTTGCCTGTAGTTGTACGTGGAGGTCGCAAGCAAACTGTTCAAGCTTGCTTGCGACATTCATACCTATTTCTACTAATGCAACATTTTCATTTGACCACTAATATGCGTTTGCAAAGTCAACCGGACTTTCAACGATTTTTGTTAGATATTGGTGAGGACAAAACCGGTCCAAAGATAGATTTACCGCTAGGATTAGTTGCTCCTGGAAATTCTTTAGATGGTCTCATTGATGCTATTTTTGATGATCCGGTTGATTTTTCTGAGTGCGTCATTTTGGCTGTCCGGAATGATGACGCCCAAGAAATCAACCGAAAAATCACCGATCGTATACCTGGTGATGTGCATCAATGTTTTAGTGCTGATTTTGTTCACGAGAATGATGAACATGCCCATCATTACCCAGTAGAGTTTTTGAATTCTTTACAATTGAGGGGTTTGCCTCCTCACCAATTAAGTCTTAAATGTGGCCAATATTTGATGTTGCTAAGGAACTTGAATCTGGCAAAAGGTTTGTACAATGGTAGTCGTTTGCGTCTTTTGCAAGTGTCTTTCAGTGTGTTGTTATGTGAAATTGTAGAAGGACGCTATCGTAGCCAAGAGGTATTGATTCCTAGAATCACACATCATTGCAACGATAGCCGCTTGCCATTCACACTTTGCCGGAGACAATTTCCGGTCACTTGTGCTTTTGCCATGACAATCAACAAATCGCAGGGCCAATCATATGATCGAGTTGGCATTTATCTTCGCAATGAAGTATTTAGCCATGGTTAATTATATGTGGCATTGTCTCGTGGTAGACATCCTGCAAACAGTAAGGTTGCCAATGACAACAATGAAGCCGTGGGAACGGTTAAAAACATTGTTTATCATGAGGTTTTTACATGACATTGTCATATAAATTCCTATAAATATTTACACCTGAATTAGGTGGATGGAAAAGTTAAGAGTTTGTTTCAAACTCTGCATGTTTAGGGTTCATGCACGCTTTGGCGTCGTCTCCTTCCATCCAATTGCATTCTTTTGGTGTTCAATTATGTTTTCTCAATTGAGACAACTTACCATTCAATTGAAGAAGGTTACATCTTGAATTTCACTATTCAATGAATGGATATTTTCCAATGCATGCATCTTTAGATGCATTTTATTTCTAAAATTTATTACTCTATTCTATTATATTACATTCTTATAATTCATGCTTAGGTCATGAAGACATATTTATATATGTAGATTGTTGTTACCTTCCTTTTAAACTATTTTGTAATATAAGAACTACATTAAAATGGTTGGACTAATGCGTTGCAAAGCAAGCACCAACTACTAGTTTCTAATAAAATCATTAAATATTAGAAGTCTCTTCCAAGGTTGAGATACCAAATATATTGTATCTTGTTATTTATTTGAGAAAAAATATGTTGTTCTTAATGATCTTTATCTCAATTATGTCGTCTTATAGGTTGAAACAATCACGATGTCTCATTTGGCAAGTCATCAAGCAATAACTCTTCAGTTAAATTTTCTAATTATTAGTTCTCTATTTCTTTAGTTCTATAATATATGCAAAAATTACAAATAAAGATAAAAGGTAGAATAATATCTTTTCTTAATATCATTTCTTTTATAGCAAAGATTTGTTATTCTTTTTTTAAGTTTTTATAGATATCATTGATAAAAACTTCTATCTTCTTTGCTACATTTGGAAGATATTTTGCTTCTATGTGCATTCAATAATATTATACTTATACCAATAAACAAAATATTTCAACTTTTTTTGGTGTCACTTTGAGTGTATGACTTCTTCTACCTCAAATTCTTCATTATTGTCCATTTCTATAGAAAGAAGTGGCATCTATTTTTTTTTTGGTATATTAATTGTCTTATATGATTCAAAATGAGACACATGGAATATAAGATGGATCTTCATTAATTTCAATAGGTATAATCAATAAGCAATTGGATTTATTTGTTTACAAATAGGAAAAGATCTAAGCTTATGATAGTCTAACTTGTTACAAGGACAAGTAGTCTTGATATTACAATGAAGTAATCATATCTTGTCACTCACATTAAATTGTGGTTATTCCTTATAATAGGCATTTATATTTATCTTTTGTCGTTCTTGAGCTTCTTTTATTTATGCCTTCATTGTTGCATATATCTCTAATAAATGATTTGTCAAATCTTTTGCTATAAAAACATCAATTCTTGAAAAGTCAAAAGCATCAAGTTATGGATGATAACCATAATTAAAAAAGAAAGGTATTTGACGAGTTGTAGAGTATACCATGTTATTATAGCAAACTCTGCTAATGGCAAAAGAATTGTCCAATCATCTTATTGATAGTTGATGGTACATCTGAAATATTGCTCCAAAACTTGATTAACACGCTTTGTCTATCCATCAATTTGAGAATAAAAGATTGAAGATAATTTTATATCTACTTGTAGAATCTTAAAAAGGGTTCTCCAAAATCTTGATACAAATTGAGTCTTTTTATCAAATATTATATCTTTAAATAATCCATGATAGCAATAGATATTTTTAAGAAAAAATTTAGTTATTTTTTTACTTATAATAGATTTTGTACATGATAAAAAATATGCCATCTTAATAAAATAATCTACTATCACAAATATAGAATCATACAAACTTGAGATTAGAAGATTTTTGATAAACTCCATAGAAATAGAAGACTATGGTTGTTTAGATATGGACAATGGTTGAAAAAGTCCATAGAATCAATAACAAGGAATTTTTGACCTTATATAAACCTCACATGACTAAACAAAGTCTTTCATTGCCTTCCACATTTACAACCACTAAAAATCTTTGGATATAAGCTCCAAAGATTTATTATATCTAAAATTTCTAGCCGCTAAAAAGTCATAATGTACTTGAAGAATATATAAACATGCTTCGCTTCCTAAAATATATAAGCATGCTTTGAAATAGAATAAATTGTTCTAAATATTTTTATCTTGCTCCAAAAGAAGGAGACACATTTTTTAATCAACAAAGAATGTCTCTCTTGAAGTTGAAACATTTTTATCTTCAAGCAATAAAATCAATATTGACTATTGATTCAATCTTTGTCAAACAAATTCAATCAAGTATATTCTTTGATGTTTATATGTTCTTCAAGTACATTATGACTTTTTATATTCAAAGTTTTTGATAATATAGTACTCAAAGCAAAGTCCAATGTATTTATTTCCATAAAGAATGGTTTAAAAAAGTTGACATAATACAAAATTGGTGCAGAAATAAAAGTTGTCTTCAAAGCTTCAAATGCTGCTTCGGCTTCTTGATTCTATTGAAGTTTGTCTTTACAATTCAAATGTATAAGTGGAGCTTAAAAGAAGTCCTTGATCAAGATCTGATAGTATTCAATAAATTTTAAAAAATATTAAACATCTCTTATTATTTTTGAAAATTTTCAATCTATAATAATTTAATTTTTTTTAGAATCTATCATAAGTCTATCATTTCAAATGATATATCTTAAGAAGATGACTTGATTAGTATCAAATCTATTGATCTTGGCATCAAATCTTATATTTCTTAATTTTTGTAATATATGATAAATATGAAGTTCATATTCTTTTGTGTTCTTAAAATAAATTAATATGTTTTTTGGATAATATACAACAAAGTCATGTAAAAATTCTTAAAAGACATTATTCATTAAATATTAGAAAGATATTTTTATATTTGTAAGTCCAAAAGGCATGATGTTGTATTTAAAATATCCATACCTAATTCAAATTACAGTCTTTCATTCATCACTTTGTTTAATATGTACCAAATTATATATTTCTTACAGATCTTAGCTTGATTCAGCTAATCAAGAAGTCTATATATCAAAGGTAAAAGTTACCTATTTTTTATGGTGATTTTTTTGAGTCTTTAATAATTGATACACGTTTGCAATGATCCATCTTTTTTCTTCAAAAATAAAATTGAAGCTCTTGCTAGAGATTTAAAATAGCATATGAAATTCTTGATTAGATTTTCTTTAATATATTATATAAATTTAGCTAATTTATTTTGTAATAATTTGTAGATTGGTCCAAATGGCAGTTGAGCTCTTTCATGAAGGTCAATTGAGTAGTCAAAGGAACAATGTTTTGGAAGAATATCTATATTTTTTTTTCAAATATATCTTAAAAATATTATTATTGGCTTGGAATGCTACTTGAAGTCTTTTAACCATTAGAAATAGGTGTAGTATAAATGACACAACATAATCTTTCTTTTGTAGCATTCAAAAAAGTTCTTGCTCCTATAAATATAAGTTTAGTTGTACAAGTTTTATGACTTTCTACTTGATTAACTATACTCTTAGTTATATTTTCAAAAAAATTAAGACTATAAAAAATCCAATATATTTTAGGATTATATTTTTTTAGTCACAATAAACCTAAAATAAATGGATTAGAGGGAGATCTAATGATATTAAATATTACAAAGCTACTATAATCATTAATTATTATTTCTATAGGAAAGATTTCATGAGTAACATCTCTTACAGACAATGGATGACCATCTACAACTTCTATAT